AAAATGAAAAAACAATATTTCCAAGTATCCCTAAGCCCTGACTGAGGAATTAAAAATCGAGAGCGGAGTGTGCTTCGCGCCATCTTGAAGTTCAAGTCCTCTAGCCGAACTGAACCCTAAACCCTAAACCCTAAACCCTAAACCCTACGTGCAAACACCTGCGGCATTCCCTGTCCTTACTTGGAGGTTCATGGGTAGTTCTAAGTGGGGTTCAACAGTAAGGGAACGATAATCCTCCGTCAAACTTGTCTTTCAGATTCCGACTCTGTGTAAAAAAAAAAGCGCCCTTCGAGCTCAGTTAGGTCCTACTACACAAAGCCATAGCAAAGTTGAAGGTTCCCTGACCCCACAATGGCCCCTTCCAGGGATAAACCTAGGGTACTTGACTCCTACATTCCCTAATTCCCCCCCCCCCCCCCACCACCCCTAAACCCTAAACCCTAAACCCTAAACCCTAAACCCTAAACCCTAAACCCTAAACCCTAAACCCTAAACCCTAAACCCTAAACCCTAAACCCGCAAAACTGGAGCCCAACCTCACGTGTCGGGTCCCTGGCATCAGCACCGACATCGAGTGGTGGGAGGCTGGGCATCGGTGCCTCGCTGGTAGGAGGCATTTAGGGTTTAGGGTTTAGGGTTTAGGGTTTAGGGTTTAGGGTTTAGGGTTTAGGGTTTAGGGTTTAGGGTTTAGGGCTAGGGTTTAGGGGTTTAGGGATTTAGGGGTTTAGGGGTTTAGGGTTTAGGGTGTAAAACTGCAAAAATGCTTGCGCTCTCCTCCCCCCTCCTTTCCCCCCCTCCCCACACCCTCCATGGTGTCCCCGGGTGGTTCATGGTGGGTTTAGGGTTCATGGCTAAGTCTTATGGTCGGAAGTGTAAACCCTAAACCCTAAGCCCTAATCCCTAAACCCTAAACCTTAAACCCTAAACCCTAAAACCCTAAAACCCTAAACCCCTTCACCCCTTCACCCCTTAACCCCTTCACCCGACGCCCACCTCAGGCTCAGCGGCCAAAGACAGCGCCAGCAGAGTGTCCACCGCATCCTGACACGCAAAAAAGGCGCAGGGGTTTAGGGGTTTAGGGTTTAGGGTTTTGAGGGTTTAGGGCAGCAATTTAAGTCATAGTGTAGGGGCAAAGATCGGCAGGACCTGAAACCCGAAAGTATAACCCCAAGTAACCCCCCTAAAACCTACTAACCCTAAGTAACCCCATAAACCCGATCAACCCTAAGTAACCCTAGAAGCCTATAAACCCTATAGCCTATAAACCCTATACACAATATAAACCCCATAAACCCTATAAACCCTATAAACCCTATAAACCCTATAAACCCTATAAATCCTATAAATCCTATAAACCCTATAAATCCTATAAACCAATAAACCCTAAGTAACACTAAGCTGGAAACAACTTTGGCTGCCCTAAACCCTAAGCCCTAAACCCTCAACCCCAAGCTGGAAGCACTTTGGGGTGCATGGCCTGAGGCGTCTGGGCTTCCGCATGGATCGAGCGAACGAGATCTGCATCCAAAGTTGGAAACATTGCCTGCCAGAGACAGAGCCACTGAAGAGCAGTCGCGGCTCAGGGCTACGTTGGGTTTAGGGTTTAGGATTTAGGGTTCAGGGTGCAGGGTTTGGGGTCTAATTATAGAGCAAAGATGCTGGAGTCAGGGCTCTTCAACCATGTTGAACCAGGTTGAAACCCAGGAACCTTGTACGTAGTGAACCAACTTGTCGTTCTGAAACATGACAGCAGTACTTGGAAGCCCAGTAACCACAGCATCATACGGGCACCCTTCTTAAAGGGAACCTTAAACCAACAAGAGGGAAACGGGTACCACTGCAGGGCTACCAAGAGTAGATTGGTCTGTCTGTCCAGTAGCTCTGTACAGGATGCGCGTGACGATGGCGCATGCAAGCCTGAAACTCGATCTCCTAGACCCTAAGCCCTAAAAACTCTGGAGCTCTTGTATGTGGCACGCGTACTGGAAGTGTTCTAGGTTATTATTGGTTGTAGGTTAAGGATAAAGTGCCCTTAACCCCGAAACCCCTGACGGCTATAGGTTGTGGATTGCTAGGTTGGCCCTTTAAACCCTCTTAAAAATCTGCGGAACATGATCCTCTTAAACCCAAATAAGGGAAAACAATTCATGTCCCGAAGGCCTAAACCCTAAACCTGAAAACCCCCAACCCTACACCCTACCCGACAGAGTCTAGGTCTTCCGCCTCCAACTCGCTGGAGGCAAGATCGGGTGCCGCACCTCATCTCAGCTTCAGGCTTTTCGCGTTTAGGGTTTAGGGCTTGGGGGGCTTTGGATTTAGGATTCTATGGGTGAGTTTACTATAGGGGGCGTGAGGCGTTGAGCGCTGCTCGGTTGTTGGTGCTTTTGGGTGCTGTAGTGACGTGAGGCTGAAGCCTAAAAACTAAGCCCTAGGTTCAGGATTTGGTGGCGCACATGCATGCAAATGACAATTGACAATTCTGTTGATGACAATCCTAGTCGGCCGGCGGGTACGCGAATTGGGGGAGCTGCAGTTTATTGCTGATGGCTTGGGCAATCTTAGGTTGAGGAAAAGGGCACGAACAACATGGGGTACTTACAGGAGGCTTCGTGGGCAGTTGCAAGTACTCGGGTTGTACCAGACGTGGGCACCTCGAAGCAGTGCCCTCAACCCCACACCCTAGACCCTACAGCCTGAACCCTCCGCCCCAAACCCTAAACCCTAAACCCTAAAGGAGCCCCCTGCACTTTCCAAGCCACGAAATGCCGATCCCTCCAAAGGCTTGCGTTTCTGTGGCCGATGCGTTGCTCATAGGCCTGCTGCAATCGGTCCAATCGCTCCTGCTCCTGGTGAGGATGAATTAGGGTTTAGGGTTTAGGCTCTAGAGGAGCTCCATTGCAGATTGACACGAGGATGGCAGTACGTTGAGGGTTCTGGAAGAGGTTTCGGATGGGCTACAACACACGCAATCTGGGAGGAAAAGAGAGAGAGAGTGAGAGAGAGGGAGAGAGAGAGAGCGAGAGAGAGAGAGAGACTGAGAAAGAGAAGAGAGAGAGAGAGAGAGAAAAAAAAAAGTGAGAGAGAGAGAGAGACAGAGAGAGAGAGAGAGAGGAAAAGGGAGGACAGCGGCAGTTCACCTCGTCCCGATGCAGCTGGCCTGGCAGCGTACGATTCCACATGGGAAATTCTCGAAAATTGGGGCCCTTTTTGGGTGCCATATATATATATATATACTATATAGATATATACAGTTTATATATATATATATATATGTAAGCAACAATACGGCTCCTTAGCAATCTAGGAGACCCAGAGGAGACCAAACAGGGAGCCTCATTTCAGGAACCTCCCATCGCATATTTTCCTCTGAACATATCTTGCTGTTGTTGAGTCTCGTTTCAGCCTGGTTCAGCCTAATGTTGAAGGTTTAAGGTGTATAGGGTTCACTCCAACATTGCAGCTAATGATGCTGCAAGGGGGCAATGCAGAGCCCCCTCAATCTTTGTGAGCTTCCCTAAACCCTAAACCCTACAGCCTGAACACTAAACCCTAAACCCTAAACCCTAAACCCTAACAGAGCTCCCCCCAGCTTTCTCTTGCGCCGCAGCTTTGTCTTTGCGCGCGCAGGTGCTCCTTTCTTATGCCATCGACCCCCCCCAGTGGAGCACACCTTACAAGCCCAACCCTCAACCCCCCAACCCTAAAGGCATGCTACCTCAACGCTAACCCAAAAGGGGGGCTGGGGACCCCTCTTGGGGGTCGTGGTGGGAACATGGGTGTCCGTGTGGCACGTGGCGTGTGAGGCTGTGGGGCTCCTTTGGCACCACGTAGCAAGAGTTAGTCTCCTGGTGGTCGGTGGGAATGCAGTGCAAAGCAGCTCCACGGAAAAAATGTCCTACAAAACGCTGCTCATCTTGTCCTTTAAGCACGCTAGCAGCAGCAGCAGCAGCAAGGTTCATCCTTACATGCGTGCGAGCGCCTGTGTAGCAAGGAGCGCGCTGTCGCATAGCCCACAGTTGCACAGCAGAGAGCAGTTGGGGTTGAGGGTTGAGGGTTGAGGGTTGAGGGTTGAGGGTTGAGGGTTGAGGGTTGAGGGTTGAGGGTTGAGGGTTGAGGGTTGAGGGTTGAGGGTTGATTGCTGAGGGTTTAGGGTTTAGGGTTGAGGGTTGAGGGTTGAGGGTTTAGGGGACCCTATAAACCCGCGAAAAATCCTAAAAGCAAGCTTGTGGGAGATTCGTTGCCGGGTCCCGGGCGGCAGCGGTTCTCGAACTCTTCGCGCTGCGCGGGGTTTGCCGAAGGCTGTGCTCCCGGCATAAGCTCCTCTCGGCTGGTTCTGTGATTTTTTTCTAGGGCTTGAGGTTTAGGGTTTAGGGTTTAGGGTTTGGGGTTTGGGGTTTGGGGTTTGGGGTTTGGGGTTTGGGGTTTGGGGTTTGGGGTTTGGGGTTTGGGGTTTGGGGTTTTTTGGGGGGGGTTTGGGTTTGGGGTTTGGGGTTTTGGGGGGGTTCGAGATGTAGGGGTCTTTCGATCATGCGGTCCTTGTTTCGGGGGTTTCTATCTTAAAAGACTCTCGTATTTTGGGGGGCGGGTACGTAAGGGGTATCCCCCAGTTTAGGAACTGTCCATATTTGCAGGCGGGCATGAGAAGCCATTGGTTCATGGTCTACGGATGAAGATTGGGACTTTCGGATGCTCATGGCTGACAGTCAGATCTGAGCACATCACCCCCTAAACTACCTGAACCCCTAAACGCCCAAACCCCTTAACTCCAAAGCTCGCAGCTCGCACTCCACTCCGGCAGGTCGAAGAGGTTGACAAAAGGCGCCCGGGATCGTTGCGAGGCCTCCATGCAGTCAATGGTTTTCGAAAACACATGGACCAAATGTCAGTGGTTCATGCTGAAAAACGATCAAACGTGGTAGTGTCATGCGTCCAAGAAAACCCATTTTCGGCACAAGCGGCACCGTCAGCACTTGCCTGCGGAGATCGTCCCTGTACACCGTTCAGTCCAGGATGTGAATCGCACAGAAGACATAGGGTGGTGCGTCTCCGCTGAAACTACTCATATGGTCGTCATTGCCCAATAAAGTCTTCAAGGCGTCTTCGAACCGACGCGTCTCGTACATAGGGGAAGGCGGAATGCTTTTCGCACACGGTTGACTGAAAAAATGTCCCTGGCCATGGTCTCCAGCAACTCCTCCAGGCGAGACAAAGGGATTCCTTTCAGAAGGGCCATGGCGATTAGACCTCCCGCACTTCAAGGGCGCGAACACCTCTTCCAAACGCTTCAGAACAAGGACCTCAATCAGTCCGCGGACACCACCACCATCAAGGGAGAGAATCCGAAAGCCTTTGTCGTCCTCGGAAGAGTTCATGGGCTCGTCAGACGTCAGGTGACACAAGGGGCAAACGACAGATGAATTCTGTGGCAAAGGCAACATCCTGCGGGTCAGAAGACAGTATCGACACAGACCATGTCGACAATGGGGATTCTTGAGTCTGAGTTGATCCGAATTCATCCGCAGACAAAGCCAACACATGTCAGGATCTTCGGAAGAGTCGCGCTGGTGCCCAAACTGCTGGCCCACCTCGCTCACCTCGGCAGACGTCAAGTGAGCCGACACGTCTTGCTCAAGAAAAGCTAGAAAAACACGCTCCATCTCTGCATAGTTAAGGAGCCAAACCACTTGAAGACGTGCACTTGCCTTGCCACACACAAGGCTTCTTGTCCTCCCAAAAAACCATTCTCTTGAGCACGTGCTGGCTGGTCACAGAAATGATCCGTGCGGAGTTGGGTGCAGCGAGAGATCCTACCATCGTGGGGCAAAGTGGCAGAACACGGCTCTTGCCTCTGCAAAAGGAGGACGACAGCGTCATATGCGTCATAGGTCGAACGCAGACTCTGCTTGGGAGGTTGGACGTCCCGTCCGTCACGTCGCTGACTTCTCCTGCCAAACCATAGGCATACCAGAACAGGATCTGCTTGGGCATGTTGCGGAACTTGGCACTGTCATGAACCTCACCCTGCCCTTTCAGCTGCTCAAAGGCACGAATGGCGTTGTCAGCACTTCTTATGCACCATGTCTTGAAACAAAATGTGCCAAGTTGAAGGCCTGGCCGGTCGTTTCAAATTGAGTCACCATCGCTTTGAAACTGAGCCAGAAGTCTCTCTCGGAGAAAAGCACGCCTTGGTCTCGTCGAAAACGATACACATCTTCAACCATTCGCGCGATCTCATTGTGCAACTCATGAAGGCTGGCCTCGAAACCCTGCCCTCTACTGTGGGCAACGCGCAGCACTGTAACACTAAGAAAGGCGTCTGCGAAAGCTTCCAGCAACCAATCGAACTCATGGCTCACAACGGGGGCATCCTCCGTCTCCCTCACCCACTTGTTCTGCAGGAGAATCAGAGCGGGCTTCCAAGCTAATGAACCAACCGCTCCGCCTCTGTCGCAAAACGCCTGATTCGCTCACATCTCTCGGCTCTCCGTGGCTCCACGGTGTCAATGAACAGCACCACATCCTTGGGGACGAAATGGACCCTAAAAGGGCTTGTGGTCCATATACCTTAATAGGGAATATAGTAGTATAGGTTTTAGGGTTTAGGGTTTAGGGTTCATTTCGTCCCCAAGGATCTGACAGAAGGTAAGCAAGTGGCGGCAAACGCTCCCTGATGACCTCCTGGCGTCGGGCCGTTGCCTCTTCCAATTGCTGCCTCAAGGCCCCTTCTGACATTTTATCAGTCATGCGAGGCACCAGCAGATTCTTCGGGACTCGTCCATCTTCGCCCTCAAAATCAAAGAGTAAGAAGGGCCTTGATTTTGTGCTTGAACCGGAATGGATGGCAGCTTTGTGCGCACAAACGTGTGCAGATGTGGGCACATGCTGGTCAGGGCGTGCAACCAGCGGCAAGAATTCCATCCGTTGTCTGCATGAAAGTGCTGGCAAGGAGGCTCTTGCCAGCACCAGTTGGTCCAATCAACGAAACTACAGGCACTGGATCCAGACTGGAAGCTTGTGTGAATCGACACAGACTTCCTGAAGGCACATGGAATCGATCAGGAATCTGATCAAGAGGGTCGACATCGACCTTCAGAACTGTGGCTTCTTCCAAGCCTGAAACATCCGAGCTGTTGATTCTTTGGGCCAAGCCGGAGAAGTGCACGTAGGCCTCGTTCACCGGCGGTGCTCTCTCTCTCTCTCTCTCTCTGAGTTCTCGGAAGAGCGCGCGCGAAGCATTCCTGGGCGCTTCATTGTCCCTCAACGCATCTTTGAGGTCGTCCGTTTGGTCTTCATTGAGCTGCACCAACTGCTCCACACGATGATACCCTTGGTCTCGGAAAACAGCTTGGTGGGCAGCCAGCCCGTGCTGATCTAGCAAGCGCTGAAGGTCTTCTTCCATGGCGCGAAGCTGGACTCAAAACCGACGCCTTCAAAGCTGCATGAAAAGTCCTCCAACATTCTCAAGAATGTATTGTGTCAAAATCCTGCAAGCTGTGAGTTCACTTCCACCGCAGGGACGTCCCTGCCTGGGGCGAATTGCTGCGATGCAAGAACAAGGGAATGTGACCGTCAAGCTGATGGTCTGCGTTGCTCTAAACCCTAAACCCTAAACCCTGAACCCTAAACCCTAAACCCTAAACCCTAAACCGTGCTCTCCTACAGTCAGTCTCCTGCCGCAAACATGTGACAAAAGAGCGGAAATCTTGCAAAGCCACTGCAAATCTGACATCAAACGCTTTCCACTGATCCTTTGCCCCTCTCAAGGCTCCCTTTCCAGCTTTTCATCACTTACCATTACACCGTGCGCCATGGTCATCTACATGCTCCATTTCAAGGTATGGCGCGGCTGGGCGTGCCTTTGTCGTCGAAGCAGCTGCCATGATGTCCAAGAAAGTTGGAATCCTGAGCAGCTCAGGAAGCCCAAGACCTTGATGGGGGTTAGGGCTTATTTGGGGTTTCGGGGAATGAGACCTTAGGATTCTAATTAAGTAGGCTTGCTTTACGGTTTGTTCTTTTTTCGTAGGTGTTCGGATCTAGGGCTCTTAGGGCAAAAGCCTGAAACTACGTTGGGATCCGTGTTCATCGCAACTGCACCGCAAGGCATAGTGCCCGTCAGGACATCCAAGAGATGCCAAAGAGTTCACATGCACATGTTTACCCGATCCATGCGCCTACAGATCTCCACAGGTCTGGAGAAGTGTGAAGACTACTTAGCCCATGTGCCCATGCTGCTTCTGCGCAGCAAGGCAGCAAAGAGGGTTTAGTTGGTGGTGCGTGAGGAGAGGTACGCAAAGATGCTCTTTAACTGGCAGTCCAGCCACAGCTCACCACAACCAGACACTCCGAATACAGCTCCGAACCCCAACCCTAAGCTGTCAATGGACTCATAAGGGAACCCCAGTTTGGGGGGTGCCTGTACAACTTTCAGGGAGTTTGGATCCGTTGAGTCCTAACGATTGCCCGAGCCTATATGCACTGTAGACACCCATGAAACTCTGCTTAGTTTCAGTTTCTGTATATGTTGAAATTTAACTTCTGCCTGGTGCTAAGAGCCTGGCGGTCTCAGAAGTGAAGGAACTGTGAGACAGAATTAGCAGTCCCAGCGAGATCACCGGCTTTCCCAAACTCTTCTATCACAAGTGCACTGCTGCAAGATACAACTTAAACGATGGATGTACCTGAACTGTATCTCACCGGGACAGGCGCAGTTCTGCGCCAAAACACTGAGTTGATGGCTGAGGGCAATCGGAGAACATCTACCGTTGACGGACAACGGACATCAGGCAATGGCATGCAAGCGCATCTAGTTGAACTAGCAGGCAGCTTGGCATCAGCGTTTACAAATACACCCCTGGCGCAGACTGACTCTGACAGGAGAGAACGAGGGTCGCAGAGGACGTTGCTTTTCAAGCACATGAGAACACTGACGTTACTCAGCTGTTCGGGCTTGCCATTCGGGTAGCTCCCCACGTAGGGATTCTCCAATATACCCCCAAAATGGTATAACGTTTAAGGAACCTAAGAAGGGGACCCCCCGGCATGCTGCTTAAGGGAACCCAAAGAGGGCACCCCATTCTCTTCGTAAACCCCTGTGGTCTCTCCTGTTTTGTGCGTCCCAACACACACAAGAAAGGCCAGCACCCCACCTCGGAGGAGGTCCGCTTCACCGCATCGATGAGCTTCTGCCCATCCTGGCAACGGAAGCCCCCGGCATCTAAGGTTGGAACCATGTGCCCTTAGTATGGTCCCTTTTCCCTTGTTTACAGGGAGGTCAGGGATTTTACGAGAATTAGAGGGATTTAAAGGGATCGGAAGTATGGTATATAAGGGTTGTATAGCCGGGACCCAAATAAGAGGGCCCATACTTCGGTAATCAGTCATAATTCTAGTTGCTGTTCTTCTAACCCCACTGAAAACTACCCGTGAACCTCCAAGTAGGGTTGAGGGGTTGTTGGCTTCAGGGTTTGGGCTCCGGTAGATTCGAGCTGCCACTTCCGTGGCCCCCCTGACAACGAGCTTTGGGGCAAGACACGTTTTTGGGGAATGTCGCTCTCTCTGGCCTAGCCTACAAAAATTCTTTACGAACAGCACGGGAGCCTAGCCAGACTCAAACCCCTAAACCTACACCCTAAACCCTAAACCCTAAACCGGAAGTTTTTTTGGTTGACAGTGCCTATCATCCCGACTATCCATTTGCAGGACTCTGGCTGCGAGCGGATGCTACAAGTGCCCCCGCCCCCCCTCCCTTTTCGAGGTTAGGGTTTAGGGTTTAGGGTTTAGGGTTTAGGGTTTAGGGTTTAGGGTTTAGGGTTTAGGGTTTAGGGTTTAGGGTTTAGGGTTTAGGGTTTAGGGTTTAGGGTTAGGGTTTAGGGCCACTGAACCTTACACCCCCCACGCGAAGGCCCTTCCTTTTAACAGCCGCGGGCAGTGGCCAAGCTGCCTCCTGCAGTCTCCGCCCAGGTGGCTCTCTGGGGCAGTTGGGCGTTTAGGGTTTAGGGCTACTAGGGTTCCTAAACCCTAAACCCTAAACCCTAAACCCCCAAACCACCCTCAAAGCCAAAAAGGCGGACTGCGCAGAAAGAAGCTCTTGCGGGGAGCTTTTGACGGATCGGCGTTGGGTCCGATTTCAGCCGGATCTTGATTTAAAGACCAGGAGTGCGTCGGTATAGGGTTTATAAGAGTCTAGGGCTTATAGGGTTTAGGGTTTAGGGTTTAGGGTTTAGGGTTTAGGGTTTGGGGTTTAGGGCTTAGGGCTTGGGGCTTATAAGGGGTTAGGGTTTAGGTTTGCTGGGGCTTCTCAAGCTGTAAGGTCGACAGGGTTTAGGGCGTTTCATGAGATGTCAAGACGCGCCAATTTCCGCATTCCGTGAACCATTTTTGAAAATCTCAGCTGCGACTGGAAGCAGCTTTGAGTTTTAGGCTTTGAGGTTCAGGACTTTGGAATTTCGGGCTTGTAGGAATTGTGGGGTTCAGGCTTTGAGGGTAAAACCCTGAACCCTGAACCCTGAACCCTGAACCCTAAACCCTAAACCCTAAACCCTAAACCCTAAACCCTAAACCCTAAACCCTAAGGGCCTAAGGGCCTAAGGCCCCGAAAGCAGGGTCGAGTCACTGAAGCTGGCAGCTTCCCGTGCTTCCAGTCGCAGGGATGCGCTTCTCCGATTCTTGGCAGCCCAGGGATCTTGGGGTTTAGGGTTTAGGGTTTAGGGTTTGGGGTTTAGGGTGTAGGGTTATGGGGTTTAGGCACAGGAAATATGGGGCTCTTACCTGGTACCCCTAAGGTGGTACCCTTGGGTTTGGGGACCCTTTCTAAAGATCCCTAAGGCAGTATAAGGGCCACTTTAAGAGCATATTGAGGGAAACCTTTATGGTTACAACCTTGGGGGTGCGAGTCTTAATCCCTTGAAAAAATCTGAATAAGTGATAAAAGGGTCTTTGGGGTTTAGATGCTCTTTTTGGGGTTGGTGTAAACCCTAAACCCCAAACCCCCTAAACCCTAAACCACCTAAAGCCTAAACCCTAAACCCTAAACCACCTAAACCACCTAAAGCACCTAAACCCAAGACCCTGAACCCTAAACCCTACAAGTGGAACCCAGAGCCCACGAAGGGCTCTGAAGGCGTTTTCAGGGGCGGGTCCCCTTTTAAGGATCCTAAAGGGAAAATACGGGCCATATTAGGATATTAGGAGTAAGGTCTTTAAGGATCCTTAAGGGAAAATGAGGGCCATATTAGGAGCAGGGTCGAGGGTTGAGGGGTACGAGTCTTCATTCCCTTGAAGGTGTGGTACCACTGGGCGACCAATAAGCTATGGACAGACGGCCGGGCCGGCCTCGTCGAAGCGACAGAGCCTGGTTTAGGGTCTGGGGCTGTGCGGCTTTTAGGGTTTAGGGTTCAGGGTTCAGGGTTTAGGGTTGAGGGTTTAGGGTTTAGGGTTGAGGGTTTAGGGTTGAGGGTTGAGGGTTATTCAGAGGTTCCGGGCCTGTAGGGCCTTTCGGGGTGCAGGCCCTTTGGGATTTGTGCAGATTAAGCAAACCTCGAAACACTCAACCCCGAACCCCGAAGCCACAGATTTCCAACAAACCCTACAGGCTGAGCCCTGAATGCTGAACACCCTAAACCCCTCCACCCACACACACACCCTCTCTCAACCCTACTCCATCAACTGGGCCGCCGACTAAACCTCCTCAATGTCCAGCAATGGGGCCTGACAGCGCTCTGAAGTTCTGCCACAAAAGGGTGGTCGAACCTCGCAAAGCTTTGATGTTTTCGTCCCCTAGCGGTCTCCACTGCGTGCTATGCCTCATTCGCCAAATCCCAGTGCCTGTCTTGATCGGCGGGCGTACGCCGAATGCAAGTCCTGAGCATCGTGGCAAGCTAGTGCCGTTTAGGGTTTAGGATTTGGGGTTTGGGTTTAGGGTTTAGGCTTTGGGTAAGCATGACGGCTCTGAAATGACATCTTGACGAGGCTTCGCTTGCGTGCCTCCTGGAATTTTCCCAAACAAGTAACACGCCTGGCCATCCCGTCATTTATATTACTGGCACCCAACGCAAGGCCGTCTTTCCCCGAACCCAATGTAGCCAGAGACGCCAAAACCCCTTAGTTAAGGAATATGCCTTAAATCATAATCGGGGTTGCCTACTATAACTTAAGGGATAATTATTCATTAATTTAACCCAAAAACCTAAACCCTGAACCCTGAACCCTGAACCCTGAACCCTAAACCCTAAACCCTAAACCCTCAACCCTCAACCCTCAACCCTAAACCCTAAACCCCAAACCCTAAGGGGTTTGGAGTTTCTGGGTAAGGCGGGTTACCTGCTATCTTAAAGCGGTCCCAGGAGCAAGGCGGCATAGAGGGCACCGAAGCTTGCGGCCCACCCATTCCAGAAGACACTCCTTTCGCGCGAGGAGGAAACTACACCTCTGAACTTCCCGAGGTTTAGGGTTTAGGGTTTAGGGTTTAGGGTTTAGGGTTTAGGGTTTAGGGTTAGGGTTTAGGGTTTAGGGTTTAGGGTTTAGGGTTTAGGGTTTAGGGTTTAGGGTTTAGGGTTTAGGGTTTAGGGTTTAGGGTTTAGGGTTTAGGGTTAGGGTTTAGGGTTTATGGGTTAGGGTTTAGGGTTTAGGGTGCGAAAGGGCCAACATGCGTGAGCTTATTGTATCCGAATGAAATGGCTTGAAAACCAAACGGCTATAGTGACGGTCTTCAATACGAAACGGTGACTGACCGTCGAAGCATGGGTGGTGCACTGAAAATCTTCCAGGAGATCAAGGGGGAAGGATGGTATAGTAGAAACACATGTCCCATCTGCGAGTCCGATCCCAGCCCCCGAAACCCTGTACCCTAAACTCGTTTCTGAAACTAGGAAACTTGGGAGCGAAACTATATAAATGTAAATAAACACACATATATATATATATAGAGAGATATACTTACATCACACCTTCAACACCTTTAAAACCCTCAACCCCGAACCGCCTCCTGACTGCGGCTGCTGGGATGTAAGGCTTTGGGCTCAGGGCATCAGGCGGAAGCCCCCCCAAACCCTAAACCCCAAACCCTAAAACCCTAAAACCTAAACCCCACACCCTAAACCCAAACCCCACAAACCCCACAAACCCCACAAACCCCACAAACCCCACAAACCCCACAAACCCCAAACCCTAAACCCTAAACCCTAAACCCTAAACCCTAAACCCTAAACCCTAAACCCTAAACCCTAAACCCTAAACCCTAAACCCTAAACCCAAAACCACAACCCTAAACCCTAACTACCCTAAAGGCTGCACTTGCGAGGGCTGGGATGCTGCAATGGCGCCTCATGGAAACGATGTGAGCATGGGAGCTCTCCTTGTAGCGATGCATGGTTTTCTTTTTGGGGTTTAGGGTTTAGGGTTTAGGGTTTAGGGTTTCGGGTTTAGGGTTTAGGAGTTTCGGGTTTAGGGGGTTAGGGGGTTTAGGGGCTAGGGTTTAGGGTTTAGGGTTGGGGGGTTAGAAGGGTGTAGGGGTTGGGGTTTAAGCGTTTCGGGGTTTACGGGTTTAGGGTTTAGGGGTTTCGGGTTTAGGGGGTTAGGGGGTTTAGGGGCTTAGGGGTTTAGGGGGCTGGTTTCGGGGCATCTGCATTCATGACCTTCATCCTTGCCAGACATTTTTGTTGAGATGAACAAAAAAGTCACGCGGCAGTATCAATACATGAACCAGTTCACTTGGGTGTTGGTGTAGACCCTAAACCCTAAACCCTAAACCCTAAACCCTAAACCCTAAACCCTAAACCCTAAACCCTAAACCCTAAACCCTAAACCCTAAACCCTAAACCCTAAACCCTAAACCCTAAACCCTAAACCCTAAACCCCAAACCCCAAACCCTATTCTGTACTTCTTATCGTTCCTGGAGGCGCCCTCCTTCAAATAAATTGAGTGTGGCTTCTTGTCGCGCAGATTGCAGGGCCCCTTCAGAAAACAGGGCGAACATCGGGCCCTCTCAATGTCAGCAAAAAGTGGAGGTCCTAAACCCTAAACCCTAAACCTTAAACCCTAAACCCCATTCTTTCAGAAACTCGGAACATGCAGATTTTGTTAGGAGGCCTAAGTCTTACGCCTTAACCCCCTCCCCCCCCCGCCCCCCAAAGCCCTAAAATCCCAAAAACCCGAGAAGGACCGCCAGTACAGTGTTTAGGGCTTAGGGCTTGGGGCTTAGGGTTTAGGGTTCAACCCCCAAGCCAAGGAACTCCATGTGCCCAGCAGCGTGCCCTCACAGGCAAGGCAAATGGCGCATTCCTTGGGGCTCCGGGAATCCGAAAACACCCTGAACCCTAAGCCCGAAATCATTGAGCCCTTATGAGCCCTTTGAACCCTCCTGTTCCAAAACCCAGGCTCGGGATTTCTAGCAGCTGGGATCCCGCCTCCCCCCACCACCCCCTTTAAAAAAATGTTCAGAAGCTCCTTCCCTCAGTCTCAGGTCCGGGGTTATAGGCCGTGAAGGGCTTGGGGGTTCGGGGCCCCTAACCCACACGAAAACATGAAGTACCAAATCCGCAAAAGGCCGCGCAAACCGCAGGCCTCAGCCCGGAAAGAGTCCCCAGTTTGAGCGGCTTCTACAAGGAATGCCTTTGACCCATCCCCTATAAACCCCAAACCCGAAACCCCAATCCCCAAACCCTAAACCCCAAATCCTAAACCCCAAACCCGAAACCCTAAGCCCTAAAACCCTAAAACCCTAAAATCCTAAAACCCTAAACCGCAGGCCCCAGGCGCCGTCTCCGGAGACACCTCCGGAGCTGGGTCCTGTTGGATCGCCTCGATCACCTCGAGGCATGCGCGACAAAGGGGGAGGGGGGGGAGGAGGGGGTGAGAGAGCCTTCAGCCCCAAAAAGGGTTTAGGGTTTAGGGTTTAGGGTTTAGGGTTTAGGGTTTAGGGTTTAGGGTTTAGGGTTTAGGGTTTAGGGTTTAGGGTTTAGGGTTTTAGGGTTTTGGGTTTCAGGGTTTAGGGTTTAGGGTTTGCTGCAATAGGGTGTAGATGCTCTGAAGGGGTGAGAGCCTTAAACCCTAAACCCCAAACCCCATAACTCTATCACCCTATTACCCTTCAGGAAGACAGCAAACCCTAAACCCTCAACCCTATAACCCTATAACCCTATACCCCTATAACCCTATAACCCCATAATCCCATAACCCTATAATCCTATAACCCTGTAACCCTATAACCCTGTAACCTTGTAACCCTAAACCCTACAAACCCGAAACCCTAAGCACGTGTACTTCAGGCTCTGGAGCGGTTTCAAGCTCCAAGAGACTGTATAATGTGGCCTAGGGCCTCAGAGGGGGTGCGAGGCTACCACTGAAGAAACATGCATCGGAAACCTTGCCCTAAACCCTAAACCCTAAACCCTGAACCCTAAACCCTGAACCCTGAACCCTGAACCCTAAACCCTAAACCCTAAACCCAGACGGATGCCACGGGATCACGAGCATGGATGCAACAATGGGTTTAGGGCCAGTTTAGGGTTTACTGGGTTTATAGTGTTTACACGGTATATAGGGTCTATGTGGATTCTAGAGTTTATGGAGTGTGTAGGGTTTCTAGGGCTTCTAGGGCTAGTAGGGTTTATATAGGGTTTATAATGTTTAATGGGGTTTCTAGGGTTTATAGTGATTAGAAAGCACCAGGTGTAGGGTTTAGGGTTTAGGGTTTAGGGTTTAGGGGTTAGGGTTGTTCACCTCTCGCCACACTCCCCGAAAGCAGCGTGCGGGGGGGGCGCCTCCGCCACAGCCGATCCGGACATGCCCCAGCGGGCGTCGATGAGGCGAATCGCTGGCAAGATGGTGGCCGCGCAGAGCGCCACAATGATCGTCAACTTTGTGCTTAGGGTTTAGGATTTAAGGGGTTGAGGGGTTGAGGGTTTGAGGGTTTAAGGGGTTTGAGGGTCTACGTGGACGTGGATCCCTTAACCCCAACCACAAATAACCCCCCCTACCAGTGCGCTAGTAGCCCTAGTGAGACAAAAGCTTCCCCATCAGGATTTGCCTTCAGGTATTGACCTTATGACAAAATTAATATCATCAGAATCACAATCAATTATGACGAATGATCGCAGTGCAAAAAAATAATCAAAGACCACAAGAAACCCCAACCGAAGCAGGTCCTGAACCCCAATTTCTAGGATGGCCCTTAAAACCCTCTGAAACATATTCCGGAATATGGGAGTTTACGAAAATAAGGGACCCCAAATATAGTCCCCAAATAGTAGGATTACTGTATCGTAAGGACCCCAATAAGGTACCCCAAACTTCGGAAACCCTCCCATATGATCCTCTTAACCTCAATAAGGCAAAACAGAAAATGTCCCAAGAGCCTACCGAGGCTTTGAGATCCGCTAATCATTCGGCATCCATGGGTCTACAAGCGACAATCAAACCAAGCTGGGTTGGCCTTGCAAACCCTCCGAAACATACTTTCTCGAAGCTTTTCAAGGGTTGAGGGGCTAGGGCGCAGGGCATATTCCTGAACATGATCCTCTTAAAGTCTTAAACCCAGAAAGGGAAGATGCAAAATATCCCGAGAGCCTACTTGGAACACCTCTAGTAGCCAAGCTGGGAATGGGCGCACAAGGACGGCCAAGTGACTCCGAGCAAACATACCTTGGCAGCCAGTAACCATGCTACAGTAAGGGTACCCTTTTTCGGGTGTACCCTAAACCCTAAACCCTAAACCCTGAACCCTGAACCCTAAACCCTGAAACCTAAACCCTGAAACCCTAGGGGAACCTTGAAACAAAAAACAGGTAAAAAGCGTACCACTTAGCTACCAAGATACCAGGCCCGTGACACCAACTTCGTCTATGAAGTGCCATAGGGCAGATGCCTCCAGGGCAGAACTTCGGGGTGAACTTCTGCAACTGTGGAATTGTGAGGCTTTAAGGTTTAGGGCTAGAGTTTAGGGTTTAGGGTTTATTGTTTAGGGTTTAGGGTTTAGGGCTAGGGTTTAGGGTGTAGGAGACCTTGCAGGACCCTGGACCCTCCCCCGGCCTCGTCCTCGCAACTGGCAGGTGCTACTGCACCTGCAGCCGTTGCTTGGCTTGCGATGCTGGTCGAGCCAACATGTCTTGTACAGGGTTTAAGGTTTCGGGTTCAGGGTTTCGGTTTGGGAATTTGATTTAAAGGGTGTAAAATAGATCCGATTACTCAGGGGAAACTTCTAAGGGCTTCTTATACCTGCATTGGTTTAGACCGTCTTAGTCGAACAAAATACGGCATCGGAGTGCTGTGCTCGGTGGCCAGGCCATGCGTTGAATTTAGGGCCGAAAACCCTCTAACCCCAAACCCCAAACCCCAAGCCCTCAACCCTAAACCCTAGACCCTAGACCCTAAACCCTAAACCCTAAACCCTAAACCCTACACCCCAAAAAGGTTTACAGGCGCCCCTTGAAGGTCCAGGCACGCACCACGGTGCCCGTAGCCATCGCCAGCACGCCCAGTGGCAGCGCCAGGGCCATGGAGGTCGTTAAGGGCAGCAAGGTGGAGGCCTGAACCCGCATGAGGACACCAGGGGTGTTTCGGGTCCAGGCTTCAGGACTCCGAGGTTTAGGGCTTAGGGCTTAGGGTTTAGGGTTTAGGGTTTAGGGTTTAGGCTTTAGGGTGTAGGGTTTAGGGTTTAGGGTTTGGGGTTTGGGGTTTAGGGCTTAGGGTTTCCGGATGCTCAACTGGTGGGCTTTCGATGAAGTACGAGCTTCTTCGATGATTGTATTGTGTATCTTACGGCTGAGTAGACATGCTATCGGATAGGTGCTTGTGCGGGCATATACGTATGTATATGCATATGTATACATTATATATATATATATATATATTTATTTATTTATTTATTTTTATATCTATATTACTAGAAGAGAAGGCGGACAAAGTACTTCCGGAAGACGCAGGAGGTCATCCCTTGGTGTTCCGAAGCCTCCCAGAGAAGGGTGCAGGCCATTGGCCCCATAATTACTCTGTTTCATTAAGGTACATGTGGGCCCTAAGCCCTAAACCCTAAACCCTAAGCCCTCTTTCTCGGTTCTATGTTGAGCTTGAAGTGCAGAGTGGAGGCTCATCGGTAGTTGTCAGAACCCCAAAATTTCGAAGCCCAGTTCGAAGTGCCCATGAACCTCCATGCAGCCGAAGGAGTTCACACACCCTGAACCCCTAAACCCCTAAACAGCTAGACACCTAAACCCCTAACTCCCTGAACCCCTAAACCCCTAAGTCCCTAAACCCCTAAACCCCTAGAGCCCTAAAGCCCTAAGACCGGAATACAGCGCCAGGTTGCGAGGTAGGCGCTGAGCCAGTACTTCATCGCCCTGCATTGCGCCGGGATGTCTGCACCTGCAGCACATGTTCAACTTGGAGGTTCTCCTATGGGAAGTGGACGGCTTTCATCTTACCCTAAACCCTAAACCCTTAAACCCTTAAACCCTTAAACCCTAAACCCTAAACCCTAAACCCTAAACCCTACAAGCAGTTCTGAAGACTGTCCTGAGTTCACGGGGGACGAGGTCTTAGGGCTTGGCGGCAAAAAGGTTGCTGCCCGGAGGCTATCTTGCTCATGAAGGAAAGTGATGGATCAACGCCCAGCTGCCAGTCCTAATTACGGACCTCATCTCCCTCTGCAGCTACTTGCAGACTAACCCCCGCAAGTCTTTCCAAGCTCTGAAACCAACACCCGACATCACGGCGGAAACTTTTTCAAACCTGAAGACGAGTTCCTGTAGCGCCGACTCCTTTTGCTCTTGTCGCCACGCAACGCTTGACAAACAGCACCTGCTGGTGGCCGGGTGTCCAACGGCGACGCAATCAGATGGGCTAGGAACTTAAGCTCGTTTGAGGGTTTGGGGTTTAGGGTTTAAGGTTTAGGGCTGCAATCTGGTTGGGTTTTGTAATTCCCCACACGCCAGGCCAAGCGCGCAGACCTCGCGGCGCACATCCAACATGCCCTCCCTGTCCGGTGGATGGCGGGGGTTCTTAGAAGTCTATGCTTGTAAACTACAGTACCCCTAAACCCTAACCCTAAACCCTAAACCCTAAACCCTAAACCCTAAACCCTAAACCCTAAACCCTAAACCCCCCTGAACTTTCCAAGAACCACAACATCCTTGGCAAGTCAGCACCAGGCCTGCGCCATACACGTTCCAACCATCCTTGGCTGAAGCTTAGGGTGCAGGGCTCCAAACCATTGCAGAACTGGGGCCGTTCATTCTGGACCCTAAGCCCAAAACCCTAAACCCTGAACCCTAAACCCTGAACCCTAAACCCTAAACCCTAAACTTTAAACCGTAAACCCTAAACCCGATTCCATGAGAAGCAGGTTATATTCAAATGCATCCTATGATGCCCCAGCCGATGCTGAGGACCCTTGATTGTGCCCTTCCTTTTGGGTGTTTGGGGGGGGGGGGTCTTTTAGGGTTTAGGGTTTAGGGTTGAGGGTTTAGGGTTGAGGGTTTAGGGTTTAGGGTTTAGCAATCACAAGGCCCCCCATCGAATTTGTTTACGAAGGTGAGGGTTTGACAGGTTCGGGCTTCGGGTGTCCTGCCATTTCATCGTTTAAAGCGTCTAAAGTCTCTCAACTCCGACCTCGTCAGACTCGTCAGACCCGTGCCCGTCAGACTCAGACAAGCCATCTCGCCCCCCCCCCCCCCCCTGCCCCGCCCCAATACCAGCAAAGTCACCCCTGAAACCTCTCGTCTGGCGTGACTTGAGACCGCGACCTGTCTTTTGGGGTGTCAGCTCCTGACATCTTCATGACTGACCAATTTAAAACCTACTAACCCTAAAGCGTCTCAGCCAAGGCGCCACGGCGCACCATGCCTTTCTGGCTTAAGACCCGAAAGGGTTCCGGATCTGTAGGTCCAGGAGAATCGGTCCGCCTAAACCCTTAGGATAGTTACATGGTCCCTTCCTATGAGCCCTTGAAAGGAAATCCCTTATATACCCTAAACCCTAAACCCTGAACCCTAAACCCTAAACCGACCAAGGGCCCATACTTCAGACCCCCTTTAAAACAGGTAAGGAACCCTCAGGGCCCATGAAACGACCCGTAGATCAGAGCCCTGGCCTGTGGGATGCTATGTGTCCGGCGCTTCCCCAAACCTTAAACCCTAAACCCTAAACCCTAAACCCTAAACCCTAAACCCTAACTTTCGCAGCTCTCCCTGGAGAGGTACGGGATGCCCCACGCATCGGCAAAAAGCGATGCCACTTGAGGGGGGAGGGAGGCCACCAGGCCTCGAGGGCCTCAGACGCCTATGTATTGCCCTCCTCAAGACCCTACATTTTTCTTGTGGGTTAACTGTATAATCTAACCCCCCCTATAAGGATTCTTAGGAAACCTACAACAAAAAGTAGGTTTGGGTTCTTCAGGTTTGCAAAAGGTGCAGCCAGGCCGACAGCGCATCAAACCCTGTGCTCTGTGCAGCGTATAAACACAATCGGGTGGTTTAGGGTTTCGGACATCGAAAACCCTAAACATAAACCCTAGACCCCAAGCCCCAAACCCAAAACCCTAAAACCCTAAAACCCTAAAACCCTAAAACCCTAAAACCCTAAAACCCTAAAACCCTAAAACCCTAAAACCCTAAAACCCTAAAACCCTAAAACCCTAAAACCCTAAAACCCTAAAACCCTAAAACCCTAAAAACCTAAAACCCTAAAACCCTAAAACCCTAAAACCCTAAAACCCTAAAACCCTAAAACCCTAAAACCCTAAAACCCTAAAACCCTAAAACCCTAAAACCCTAAAACCCTAAAACCCTAAAACCCTAAAACCCTCCTAAAACCCTAAAACCCTAAAACCCTAAAACCCTCAAACCCTCAAACCCTCAAACCCTCAAACCCTCAAACCCTAAAACCCTAAAACCCTAAAACCCTAAAACCCTAAAACCCTAAAACCCTAAACTTACCCTAACCCTAAAGCCCAAACCCTAACCCTAAACCCTGAACCCCGATCCCGAAACCCTTGCCTGGCCCAGCACGCAGAGAAGGAAAGCGACCAGGCAAACCCCCACCGGGCAGCGCAGCTGTCGCACCTGGCCCGAAGGCTTTAGAGTTTAGGGTTTTAGGGTTTAGGGTTTATGGTTTTAGGGGTTCAGGGTTTTAGGGTTTTAGGATGTTCGGGTTTAGGGTTTAGGTTCTTCAGAATTCAAGTGTCTGTGGGATTTCGCCTACAACGGGCCAAAAGGGGGAGCTTGCAAGCTTGTCATCCAGGTCTCACCGACATTTCCCTACTTTTGGCCCACCTACGTCTCACCCGGTATTACCCTGCCTAAACCCCACACCCCCCCAAACCCCAACCCCAAACCCTAAACCCCAAACCTTAAACCCGAAATCGCCATATACCCTACTGGCTAAAATGCACAGCAGATGATACAGGTCCCGGAGATTGGGAATCCCTCCCCTTGGGCCTCCTCAACCAGCTCCGCCGGCGGCGGGCCCTCGGAGAAGTCGTGGCTGTGAGGGAAAGACATGGCTCGCAGGACGCCGACCTGGCCACGACCGAACTCTGAGAACCGGAACTTCTGTGTAGGGTTTATAGGGTTTCAGGGTTTATAGGATTTATAGGGATTGTGGGAATTAGGGGAATGATAGGGGTTATAGGGTTATATGGTTTAGGGTCTAGGGTTTATAGGGTTTAAGGTTTAGGAAACGTAGGGTGATACGTGTTTAGGGTTCAGGGTTTAGGGATGTACTTGTGAAGGCTCTGCAAGTTCCTGACATCGGAAAAAAGCAAAAGGCGCATTTGCACTAAAGACTTTTGTTCCTGACTAGCTCTTTTGAGGGAATTCTGGGAAGTAGATGCTTCCCCGTTGTTAGAGGGCACAAAATTCCTCAACTCCCTACAGTATGAAGAGATCCTCAATTTTCCTGAGGCCCAAGGTAATCCCTAAACCCTCCGGGGTGGGGGGGGGGCGGGGGGGGCGTCTTCCTCATGGGACGAACGTCTCCAAAAGCTCAGATTCTTAGGGTCCATGATCGCAAGTAGAGGGTGTGAGGGTTTAGGGCTTAGGGTACGCATCTCAGTGGAGGTGGAGATGAAGGGAGCCGGAGGCTTGAACCGGAACTGCAGCCAAGTCAGAGATGCGCCTCCGGGCCGTCTTGCAATAATCGCGAGACTTGCACGCCTGACGACCAGAGGGTGCAGCTCACAAATTGTCACAAATGCTTAAGGGGAACGGGAACCTAGTATTGGGGGGGGAGGGGGAGGGGAGGAATAAATTGAATAAATTTAGGGTATCTTGAGAACTGCTGGGGGGTCTCGGTGCGCGCCAAACCCCCCAAAGCAAACTTGAAGCTCTTCCCGCCAGCGCCTGCCAAAGTGAGGGCTATACTCTGATCCGACATGGCTGCCGCGAGCTCTAATTTGAACAGGCTCCGCTGCAGAGGCTATTCAGGGCGCACTTACGGTCCTGTTGCAAACCCGAAAACTAGTATAACAATCAAATACTTACACATGGACACCTGGATATACTCATAGAATGAGCCCAACAGGAGATATAAGATATTAATGCAACAGTAACCGAACATTCGAAGCCTACACCAATACACTCGCAACATACTAATATTCTAACTTCACATGATACATAATTTTAACATTTTAACATGCTAATATCCAATCGGAGGCAATGAACAGCTTGGGGCTTAAAGCCCGCGAGGGCTTCTTCGACTCAGCTCAGGCTTCAGGGGCAGAAGCCCAAGGGTTTCGGGTTTCAAGGGTTCCAGGGCTCAGGCGTTTAGGGTTTAGGGTTTAGGGTTTAGGGTTTAGGGCTAAGGGAAAGTCCATGAAACAAGGCCTAGGTATACTTGCGCGTGCGTGACGGGAGCCACAATGTCACGGATGTTGGCTCTAGGCAGCGCCAGGTTCGCAGGATGAGGAGCCCCCTCCATCCGCAGCTTCCAGGGGCCCAGATGCTGCAAGCCGTCAACCCGTTTAAGGTTTTGGGGTTTTAGGGTTTGGGGTTTTTAGGGTTTAGGGTTTTGGGTTGGGATGTTCCACCTTATACTAGCAGTCCTTAGTAGGGATTATAGTTCCCCCAATTTTAATCCCCATGAAGGGCTGTTAGAACATCCCAAGCTTAGGGTTTCCCTGAGAACCTGAAGACGAAGTTGCCTTAAACTTCGGGACTTGTGGGGTGTAACCGCTATGGCTCGTAGGTGGGGATGAGGAAGACTCCCAACACACGAGTCAGAACTCCGGTGCCTTCGGTGCATGCGAGATCGGCACACACACGCACAGACACTAAGAACTGGGATGTTCCCCCTTATACTAGCAGTCCTTAATCGGGATTATATTCCCCACTATTGTAATCCCTATTAAGGACTGTTAGTATAAGGGGGAACATCCCAAACTAAGAAGTCAAAGCGTGCGGGATCGTCCCCACGGGAGATCAGAACCGAGGGGATGTGGATGTTCGCACCTGCGACATCTAGGACATTGCTCCCGCACTGAGCCAAATCATGCCTTACACACTTCGGCTGCATCAACGGGTTCAGGGTTTAGGGTCTAGGGTTTAGGGTTTAGGGTTTGGACTTCATCTTGGGCTTTTGCCGTAACCATCATCGGCCACGATGATGTTGCGGAGGTCTTGGGACGTCAGCTGCGAGTCCTTCCAAACAAACGTAGTTCCAAGCAAAACACTGGAAACCCTAACCCGCCCCAAGGACCGACTACATCATACTGGAAGGTTTCTAAATAAGGATATAATGGGTAGAATAAGCAATTCTGATTGAACCTCCAAGTAGTCTTCGAGAGGCTCTACCAAGAACCGGCCCCAAGGAAAAGGGCTACTAGAGAGGTCCGGATGAAGCCGGCTTGTGGTTCGCAGTCCTTCTTGTCTACGATGATCACTGCGTGTGCCTCAAGCGGATTAAGATTACTCTATGGGTATAGATCGAAGTAGGGTTACAAGAACCCCCGCCCCCCCCCCCCCCCCCCCCCCCCGAAAAAAAGAGGGTATAACCTCTTACAGCTATAGTTACCCTACTTACAAGCCCGTGCTGTAACGAACCCGAAGTACTAAATCCAACCATCACTAGCCACGAACCGCCAAGTAGGGCCTTATCAAGGACATATCCCTAAAGCCTACAGCCTACAGCCTACAGCCTACAGCCTACAGCCTAAAGCCTAAAGCCTAAAGCCTAAAGCCTAAAGCCTAAAGCCTAAAGCCTAAAGCCTAAAGCCTAAAGCCTAAAGCCTAAAGCCTAAAGCCTAAAGTCTAAACCCCAAACCCTAAACCCCAAACCCTAAACCTACCACAAGGGGGGGTTGCTTATGGCGCACCAAGGGCTTCGGGTTTAGGGCTTCTACTACACCCAAAAGTAACCTAGGAGCCTAAGCCCCAAAAGAAGGGAATAAGGGCCCAGTCTGTGTTTAGGGCTTATGGGGATCTACTGGTTGCCCCCAGAGCAGCTTTGCTAGTGCACGGGTGCAGATCGAGCACTCAATGTTCAGTGCTGTTTCTGAGTCGATGGCATGCTTTTTCCTCGCCACCTTCACCTGCGGTTGCCAAGTTGGGTGTCGCACGTCTAAGATGTCTGACCGCAGCATACGCCAGCAGCACTTACGCAGGGTTTAGGGTGCACCAGGTGTGGTCTGGTGTGGTGTTAAACAATGCGCCTTCGTCACGAAGGAGCAGCCCCCCCGCTCCACGAGAACGATGTTGATGAGCGAAACCTGCATTGGAGGCCCTGCCCACACCCCCAACCCCCAGCGACGCCGACTTCAACTCCGAACTCAACACCCGAAACCCTAAACCCTAAACCCTAAACCCTAAACCCTAAACCCTAAACCCTAAACCCTAAACCCTAAACCCTAAACCCTAAACCCTAAACCCTAAACCCTAACCTAAACCCTAAACCCTAAACCCTAAACCCTAAACCCTAAACCCTAAACCCTAAACCCTAAACCCTAAACCCTAAACCCTAAACCCTAAACCCTAAACCCTAAACCCTAAACCCAACTTAGAGTGGGACAGCGCGCCTCTTTGTAGCTCTTGCCTTCTGGAGTATACTCCACGGGGTCAGGCACGGTGTAATCCTCGTCCTGGCACACGACCCGCAACAAGTCACCCCACAGGGTCCCTTTAGGGCCCCTCGCCACGGCACGTAAGGAGGATACCCATAAGGACGATATACTTACGTGTATACAGAAATATCATCTAAAATGATGTAATATATGACGGTTTCGTGAGGAAACAAGCATCCCTTTAACTTTATATCTCCAACCCGAAACCCTAAACCCCAAACCCTAAACCCCAAACTCCAAACCCCAAACCCCAAACCCTAAACCCTAAACCCTAAACCCCAAACCCAAAACCCTAAACCCTAAAGAACAGGAGAACGCCTGTGAGTTCTCAGGCCCCGGCCGTGCAATGCAACTCCCCCTTGGAGTCGCCGTACACGAGCCGACCCAGGAAGCTGTCACCGTAGAACCTTTTGGGGCGGGTTGCGGGTTTAGGGTTTAGGGTTTAGGGTTTAGGGTTTAGGGTTTAGGGTTTAGGGTTTCGGGTTTGGGGTTTAGGGTTTAGGGTTTAGGGTTTGGGGTGCAGGGCACTTGGAGGGTTTGGGGTTTCGGGGTTTAGGATTAAGGGTCTGGGGCACTTATAGGGTTTGGGGTTTGGGGTTTAGGGTTTAGGACATTTATGGGGTTGAGGGAGTGTTAGAATTTGGGGTTCCGGGGGGTGAAGGGGGGAGCAACTCCGTGCCTGAAAAACTGTTGGGGTTCAGAGTTTAAGGTTTAGGGTTACAATTTGGATTGTTCCCCCTTATACTAGCAGTCCTTCATAGGGATGGGCCCCTATATCATGGCCTCATCTCTCGCCCTCAACCATGAAACGCTCGAATCCGGAAGCTCAACCGGCAAAAGCCCACTGCTGCAAGACTCACTAAGCCCGCAGGCCTAGACATCCGCAATTTGGGGTTCAGGGGGTTTAGAAGGCCCAGAAAACATCAACTTAGGGCTCAGGATTTAGGGTTTACGCGCCAGAAAACCTCAACTTAGGGTTCAGGGTATTTAGAGTTCAGGGCCCAGGAATCATCAACTTAGGGTTTAGGAGTTAGGGTTCAGGGCTCCTCTCCCCTAAACCCTAAACCCCAAACCCTACTACACTCTACCGAACCCCAAACCCTAAACCCCAAACCCTAAACCCCCAGCAAGCCCCCAAACCTGAAGTTTCCCAAGCCCTGAACCCTAAACCCTAAACCCTAAACCCTAAACCCTAAACCCTAAACCCTAAACCCCCAAACATCTAAACTTGCCCAAGCCCCAGCTCAGGGCCCAAACGGTGCCCCGAAGGTCGCAGTCGAGCCATCGATCCTGGCGGCCCATGTTGGCTCAGGGTCTTCGGTAGGGTTTAGGGTTTGGGGTTTGGGGTTTGGGGTTTGGGGTTTGGGGTTTGGGGTTTGGGGTTTGGGGTTTGGGGTTTGGGGTTTGGGGTTTCGCTCCTTCGGTCCACCCCTTCCGACACAACCTTTTTGGAAAATGGCAACTGGTGGCCGAATGTTTCTTGGTTGCAGCTAGTAAGGCCCTGCGCTCCAGAACCCTAAACCCTAAACCCTAAACCCTAATACTGCGATGTAGTGTTGAAAGCCTGGCAGGACCCCCACCCCCCCCCCCCCCTCCCCTTGGGGCTGTTGGCGTGCGGAATTTGGGATTCAGGACTGGGAGATTCGTGAGTTAGGCTAGGGTTCACCTATTGCTTTTGCGGAACGTCTGTCTGGTTTGGCCAACATGCTGGCGCGCCAAGGAGCAAGGAGCCTGCCCCCTGTGCTCTGAAACTCCTGCTTGAGTGCGCGCGGCGCAACCACCCGAACCTTGGCGCAGATGGGATATTCGCCTGACACTTTAGGGTTTAGGGTTTAGGGTGTAGGGTTTAGGGTTTGGGGTTTGACATTAGCCTGCGTGGCGCAGAGAGAATCAGGCCTCAAAGCAAGGACGAACTGCTTAATTTCAGCGTAAGAGGTTTGACAATCAGGGTTGGCGGTGAGTTGCCTGCCCTCCTAAACCCTAAGGCGCGAACCCTCACTCCTTAACCCCACATGTGATTTGTCCGAACCTTATGAAGCTAGAAATGCTAGATATCGAACAAAACTGAGCTAGACACTCACTCGTAGAGTTTAAGGCTTTGGATGTAGTCTTGGAGGTTTGAGACTCAGCTTACACTAACGGGATTTGGGGGCTACGGTTGAAAGGCTTTGCTTGAAGGTTCATGGGTAGCTCTAAGTTCTAAGACAAGTTGGGATGATAAGCATCCCAAATAGGCTTCTTACCCATGAACCTCCAAGTGACACCCTCAGCCTTGAACACCCTAAACCCTAAACCCTAAACCCTGAACCCTGAACCCTGAACCCCCCAAGGCTGGCCCCTCTCGGCTGCGAGGCGGACCTGTGCTGTCGAAAGCTGCAGTTGCAGCGCCAGGGACCTCGGCACCCCAACAAACAAAGTAGGCTCTAGAGGCCATTTTCGGGCTTCAGGGGGCTTGGGCCCCTAAACCCGAAACCCTAAACCCAAAGGGCCTTAGGCTACTTTAGGGCTCAAGCGGCTTCAGGCTACTTCGGGGCTTCAGGGGCTTTAGGCTCTTTAGAGGCTTGAGATCTCAGGGCTCAAGCCCAGGCAAGAGCAACCCAAGCTCATCCAACATCTTTCTGAAAATGGCAAACCTTGTCGTTTTTAGGGGCTCTAGTTCATCAGGTTGTAACCAGTTGCAGTTACAATGATAGCTACCTTCCTGAAAACATCTTGTAACCCCACTTACGACCCGTCAGTGCCGGGCACGAAGAACGCCGCTGTAGACGAAAGGCGCATCTTGCAGGCAAGAAAAAGCGAGTGAAGGACGGGATTTTGTCCGTTCATGGATCCATCTCCACTCAACCCCAGCGTGGGAAGAGAGAAACAACACAGTGACATCAGACACATCCTGACTCCGCTGGCCACAGAGCTTTAACTTTCATCAGCAAGAATGTTGCTTGAGTTTTTAGCAACTCAGATCGGTGTTGTCGGCTCTTCGTCCCATGCTTTCGCCGCGCCTTCATGGGGGCCATGCCGCCAGCAAAAACCATCTCTCTCAGCTATACTTGATAATTAAAACTTGCAGCAATACCATGAGTGACCCGAATTGACATGTGTCCGTCGGATGAAGGCATGTCTCAAAGCTTCGATAGCTCTTCGTGGAACCTGCTGACCCAGCTTGCAGTTCTACCTGTCTCTTGGCCGTGGATGGGTCGACAGTGCTACGAACCCTAACCCTAAACCCAAACCCTAAATCAGTCCGGGTATGTCGGCATGTCTTCACTCCCCGATGGAGCTTGCTCCGAAAACGCTGCGCCACGAGCTTTTCGCTTCTTGGGGCCTTACCGGCGGGCTTCAAAGGGGTTTGAGGGTTTCAAACAGGGGAGTCAAAGTGTCACGGGTTGCAACAGCCTCTGCCTGCTTCTGTCTCGTAGAAGTTTCAGAACTATGGGAACGAACTGCCCCCCAAAAAAGAACATAGCATGGTTGCAGGCAGCTGACTTCAGGGTCGTGAACCAACGTGGAACCTCTGAGATGTTTCAGGCTACAGAAGGAGCGGCGGTTCCTGGGTTTTTGAGGCTGAAGGTGCCAAGCTCGAACTCCAGCCAGCCCCGCATAGTCCCGGATGCTATGGCCTGTAGCCCCGAACTTTGGGCCAAAGGATGGACGACTTCAAGCGACATTGTCGCGTAATCTACAACGGGATGTATCTTGCTACAGTAGGATATGGAGGTTTTACGAAGTTAGGGGACCCCTAAAATAGACCCCCAAATAGTAGGATCCCCCTATCATACAAGGCATAAGGACCCCAAATTCGGTACCCCCCGAATGCCGGAATCCCCCATAGGGCAACACCGAAGGGGTGGTTGCACTTCATGGAGCTCGCGCATTTTTTGCACCGACCATCATCAGCACCAGTGCTGGTAGCCATTGTTCACTGCAAAGATGACCTGCAGCAGTGGCTCCAGGCATGTCCGAAAAAAAAAGCTGTAGGAACAGCGCCGTCATTTCGCCCACGAGCACGAACCAAAAACCTTTTTTTCACTGCTTGCGCTGGATACTCGGATTTTTCGGAAGTTGGGGGTGCTAACTAAAAGGGAAGGAGGACGCGCTGCCTCCGTGACAAGGGCATTTGGGAAAGTCCAAGAGACATATTTTTAAGCTGCAAGTCCCAAAACCGAGCTCCACCCCCCTGAACTCCGGGCTCTGTCAGCCCTTCAGCTTAGGGTTTAGGGTTTAGGGTTTAGGGTTTAGGGTGTAGGGCTTCAGCATACATCCATCTTCTCCGGGGGTATGGATGATGGGAATCAGGGTCCGATCGGGGCTGCGAATAGTCAGATGCCAGTCAATCATTTTGGCTCAATGCACGTCCTCTGTGAAGCCTGTGGAGCACTGCGCTTCTGATGGCCGTGCTCGAAATCTGACCGCAGTGCACAAGCGTCCAGCCCCTGTTACGACCATGAGTGTCTACATGCCAGCTTGCCCCTCAAACCACACAGGCTGTCTGCTTACACCGTCTCCCTCTCTCTCTCTCTCTCTCTCGAAATGCTGTCTACAATCCTGCCGACGACATCGGATGCAAAAGCATTGCCAAGCCTTGCCACCGATTCCCATCTCGATGCAATCACGATGTGAAACCACCTCCGCGTCTTCATCGACTTGGGGTTAGTCAGTATTATATATATATATATACACACATATAAACAAATAAACAACACGTTATATGTTCTATCTTTGTGTTGCATAATATATATATATATATATATAAATGTATATTATGTATTATGCATTGTGGATAATGTAGTGTACAGCTGCCTGCACATAGGGTCTAATGCTGACAAAGCTGCTCCCACGGGAGTCTGCATGATCCACAGGCCGGTGTTGTACCTCAAGGAGCAATCAAGCGTAAAACCCACAACACCAGAATGAAGCCGAACACAACGAATCTAAAAAACCCTGCAAAGCTGCATCCCCCAAAGACCACCTGAAAAGTCGGAACCACGTCGGGTGCTGGTCAACAAATTACCTTAAGCCCGTCTTCACGCATGCGCAACGATCACAAGCATCGTTTGATTACAATGCTCTTGACAGGATCTGTTGCAGTAGCATCAACAGTAGTAGCAACAGCAGCAGTAGCTGTTAGTGCTGGTTGCGGTGATTGTGTGATGATGGTGATGGCTGTAGACGTGGAAGTAAAGCGAAACTCAAGAAGTATTTTCGAAGAATTAAGCAGTATCAGTATTCGGCGCGGCTTTGGGTGCTCTTCTCCTTCTTCTTCTTATTATTATTCTTCTTCTTCTTGCTGCTGCTGTTGTTGTTTTGCTGCTGCTGCTGCTGCTGCTGCTGCTGCTGCTGCTGCTGCTGCTGCTGCTGCTGCTGCTGCTGCTGTTGTTGTTGCTGTTGTGCGGGAGCCGATGATGGTAATGATGCTGATGATAAACAGTTGATGCCGAGGCTGACGATACCGGAAATCCGAATGACGACTTGCCGAAGTAGAGGGTGACGAAAAAACAGATTGACATCCATACGGATGCTGAGACTACAAACAAAGTGGGTTTAGCGCCTGCCCTGGAAATAACAGGTAGGTCGCACCTATGACGAACTTTAAGCCCGGAACTTCCGGAACAAAAAGATGCTGGGGCCCCTGCCGCGTGCGGAACTTGAGCTCGTGCGGAAGCAACCAGATGTCGCGACCTTTGTTGCGCGAGAAGAAGCGCTTAATCGGCGTTGGGGTCCGGCGTTAACAAGGACAGGGGAATCTGGGGTTTGCCATGCTCCTGTACGTCTTTTCTGCCTTGACCCTTTGCTGTCCCAAGTCGTTGCGACAGGCGTTCTTTTTCTGTACAGGAGTTCATTAGAGCTTTCGGACTTAGAGTGGAAGGTTCCAGGGTTCGGAGTCTGTAAGTGTCTGGAGAAGCCTCCTTGGATATCGCACTGCTGCATCGACTATAGGGGTTTAGGGTTTATAGGGTTTACAGGGTTTAGGGCATGTCGGGATGCCGGGAAGCACAATGCTCTGCCTGCCTTGTTGCATGTCTTGGAACGAATGAAACGACTACGACTCCTCTTTGCTGCGCCCAATACCAGCTCCCCGAAGGACATCTTCTTTGAAAACTATACAAATATTCCTGATCAATCCGGCAAGGGGTGGTCCAGGAGCCAGCCTAACCTCGAATAATGATCGCCGTTCGGGATCCGCTTTAGTGCCCTGGATTTCAAAAAGTCATATGAACCCTTACATTCATATACACTCATCGCATTTAAGATCATATGGATCTCTTTCAAAATCATCTGGATTCATACAATCTGCTCCCTTTTACAATCACATGGACCCCTTTCATATTATATATATAAGGACTCCTCCCATTAAAATCATATAAAATCCCCGGGCCGCTTGAAGAGGGCGAAAACCGGCCTCGACTGTTCTGGGGAAAGGGGGCGGGGGGCCCACACGCTAAAGCAGGTCCAACATTGATGCGTAAATCTATACCAAGAATCAAAGGGGTACACTTTCCCTTTTACGGGTATAGAAGGCTGCTCCAGGTACATTCGGAACCCCCCTCGCCCCCTGCCGCACCCCCAGCCCGCAATCCCGGACTAGAAAGACCGCATCTGCGTCCAGGTATTTATTTGCAGTTACCTTACCTATTATAACCCCAGTTGTAACTACCCATGAACCTCCAAGCAGGGAACCCTGAGCCCTAAACCCCAAACCCTGAACCCCAAACCCCCACTCCCTCATGCCCCCTTCCTAGGAGCCCCAAACCCTAAACCCTAAACCCTAAACCCCAAACCCTAAACCCTAAAACCTAAACCCTAAACCCTAAACCCTCACTCCCTCATTCTCCCTCATTCTCCCTTTCCAGTAGGAAACGCGAACCTGGGGCCCGCAACTTGGCTTCGACACCACGCGGATGTTTCGTATCACCGGCGCGCCCTGGCATGGCGAAGCAGGGGTTCAGGGTTTAGGGTTTAGGGTTGGGGCTCCGGAGGGTCCCAGGGCTCTCCAGTTTTCGGGCCCTAGGTACTCTAAACCCTACACGGCTCTAAACCCTACAGGCAAACTCCTAAGCCCTAAACTGCTAAACCCTACAACCCTACAAGGCATCTTTCCCAGGATGTTTAGAGTGTTCCTTGACTTTGGCGAGCCTTTGCGAGGGGGCATGCGTCGACAACAAGGGCGAGTGCTGTGTCATTCCTAGAAAACCCTAAACCCTAAACCCCAAACCCTAAACCCTCCCTATCGCCCCTACAGCCCAAGCACTTGGGTGCAGCACCTGGTAATGTTTCAACAAGATGGTTATCCGGTTGCCCTCCACGGTGTAGCCACGAATCAGGCCCTCCTGACCCAAGGCGGTTTCGGGTTTAGGGGTTTAGGGGTTTAGGGGTTTGGGGGTTTAGGGGTTGAGGGGTTGAGGGGTTTAGGGGTTTAGGGGTTTAGGGGTTTAGGGGTTGAGGGGTTGAGGGGTTGAGGGGTGTAGGGGTTTAGGGTTTTAGGGGTTTAGGGGTTTAGGGTTGAGGGGTTTGGGGGTTTCGGGCTTCTTCTGGGTTAAGGGAATTTAAGGTTCAGCTGACTCAGGGGGTGGGAAGCTTTAGCTGCATACCCTGCTCTGCTGCCTGCTTGCTTGTTGCTGGAGCATAGGTGACATGGTACCAGTTCAGGTGTCACGATCTACTATTTGCTTAAGAACACCACAAAACTAGGACAATAATCCATGTATTGCCCCTAAAGGAAGAATACTTATTTTCAATTGTTGGGGGGGGGGGGGGTTCTTAAGCAAAAAACAGCCATGTGATGCAATACAACTCTCCACGGAAGCGCGCTTAGGCACGCATTTTGCGCTCTGCCCACTTCACGCCCGGCTGCTCAGCACGGAGCAGCTCATCCTCGGCAACTCGTGGAAGACCAGCGTTGTAACTAACCATCAAAACTAGGAGAGTCCTAAACCCTAAACCCTAACCCTAGACCCTACACCCTAAACCCTACACCCTAAACCCCTAAGACTTTCAGACTACGGCCTGACACAGCTATCCCTACAAGACTGTGCCTGGGTTTCAGGTTTAGGGGCTCAAGCGGGGCCACGGAAACCCCTAAAAACCTCAAAGACTGCATCATGCACCGCCCTGACCCCAAGCCGTGAACCCCAAGCTCTATCGCGTCCTCCACCCCTCTGAATCTGCTATCCGAGTCTTCGGTGGACGTGTATGAATACATGTACCTCGTTGCTGAGTACCCTGGGCCAAAAAGGTTCACCTTCAAATATGGTAGGATTCTACATACCCCGAAAGGATAGAGGTTACCTACCTAGCTACTAAGTGCATCGTATGCAATATAGGTGCCTTCAATAAGTAGAATAGGCTTTGGTGGGGTATTATGGTACACTCATAAAGGGACCCTAAGGGGAACTGTTTGAAATTATTCCGACCCTGAAGTATAGCACGGTACATAACCCTAAACCCTAAACCCCAAACCCCAAACCCTAAACCCTAAACCCTAAACCCTGAATGCCTTGGCTGTGAGGACCAACGTCTTGGCCAAGATTCGACGGGTGCACTGGGACTTGACCGTTTCGTAGCCGCCACACCTGCAGAGGGTTTAGGGTTTAGGGTTTAGGGTTTAGGGTTTAGGGTTTAGGGTTTAGGGTTTAGGGTTTAGGGTTTAGGGTTTAGGGTTTAGGGTTTAGGGTTAGGTTTAGGGTTTAGGGTTTAGGGTTTAGGGTTTAGGGTTTAGGGTTTAGGGTTTAGGGTTTAGGGTTTAGGGTTTACTGCCAACCGCTGAGCACCCTAAACACCCCCAAACCCCTGAGCCCTAAGTCCCTAAACCCCACAGCCCAAAACTCCAAAACCCCAAAACCCTAAGACCCCAAAACCCCAAAACCCGAAGACCCCAAAACCCAAAACCTGCAAGACCCCAAAACACAAAACCCCAAAATCCAAAACCCCAAAACCCCAAAACCCTAAGACCCCAAAACCCAAAACCCCTAAGACCCCAAAACCCTAAGACCCCAAAACCCCAAAACCCCAAAATCTCTCTCGAACTGCCGAGGCGCAAGGCAGTGTGATCACAGGCCCGGCCGAATTGCTCTGGGTCGTACCTTTGCGGGTTTAGGGTTTAGGGTTTAGGGTTTAGGGTTTAGGGTTTAGGGTTTAGGGTTTAGGGTTTATAAGGGTTTAGGGTTCCACATGATGATAAGGGTCCCGCTTTGAACGGGTTTGGGGTGTTTTGGAGTTCGGCTAGGATTTCACCCTTAACGTGTTGAGCTCTAGAACCCCTAGAACTGCTAAAAAGAAGGGGCGGCAAGGGGCAACCCGATTCCAGAAAAAAAAACGTGTCTGCTCCAAGGTGCTTCAGGTCGTGGTGGACACTTGCGCAGCCATCTGCCTGACATGTGACTTTTGCTTTTAGTGAGGGTTTTCGGGTTTGGGGTTTTTTTAAAGTTTAGGGTTCAGGGTTTGGGGATTTGGGGGTCTAGGAGTTTAGGGTTTTGATCTTCCTTTGTTCTGCGGTTGGGGCTTGCCTGGTGCAAGCTTTAGGAACCTTAATGGCTTCAGGGGGGGCTCATTAGGGGCTTCAGTGCAGTGTCTTTTTGGGGCTTTGGGGGGGGGGGGGCTTGGGGGCTTTTGGGGCTTAAGGGGCCTGAGGGGCTTTAAGGGGCCTTTGGGAGCCTTCTAAGGGCTTCAGGGACGCAAAACCTGCCCGAAGCGGGGCCTCGCTGCAGTAGAGGTTGAACATGTTGCCTTGGTAACCCAGGACCCTAAACCCTAAACCCTACACCCTACACCCTAAACCCTAAACCCTGTTATGATAAGAGCACCCTAGGGTGTAGGGTTTAGGGTACGGCTTGGCGGGTTGGGGGGTTGGTTTCTGGGGGAACCTTGAATCAAAAAACGGGAAAAAGGTACCACCGGGCCACCAAGTCGCAGAAGTTCGTGGAAAAGTCACAGAGGCTCTCCACCTATCAGGGCAGTCCCCATTTGCGCCCTGATTTTACAACACCCTCTGGCCTCATGTTTAGGGCGTTCAGGGTTTAGGGTTTAAGGGTTGAGGGGTTGAGGGGGTTTAGGGTTTAGGGCTACTACTCCCATCCCTCTAGAGTCTCATTTGGGGGCAGGGGAGAGCCACGTGCTTTTGGCATCCTGCCTGACTCTCCGAGCACCCCAGAACATGGCAGTGTGATCCTCGGTAGCAGGGTTTAGGGTTAGGCTTTAGAGTTCTAGGATTCTAGGGTTTAGGGGGTCACTAGCTCATAAGGGCCACACCCCTGTTTTGTGTGGGTCCGTGACCTTTACGACGGAACCCAGAAGCCAACAAAACAAGTGGCCAAAAGTGTACCACGCAGCCAAGGATCCAGCTGACATGTAGCGGAACCCGAAGAGGTCGGTGAAGGGACCTGCGACGGCGTTTTGCGCTTTCGGGCCTGAGGTGTGGCGGCTTAGGATTTAGGCTTCGGCCTGCAATTCTTAGGGTAGTCGCATGGTTCCCTAGTATGGGTCCTTAAAAGGGACCCCTTATATGCCCTATACAACCCAAGGGCCCATCAGAACCCTTTAAGGAGGCAAGGGACCACCGTAAGGGCCCACATGACCACCCTTAGATGAATGCACGTGTCCGTAGTGAAAGCCCTGAGATTTGAACCTGAAAGGCCCCTGAACATCGTGCCATCAAGAATCGAGTTCTTGGTAAAATCATAGGGATGGAAGGTACCGAATTCCCTAGAATTCGGGCCTTAAGAACCCCAACAAGGCAAGAAGCTGTGCCTGGCCATAGACTCTGTAAATAACCTTGCACCCTCCGATACCACCTGGGAACTCCTTTCCCGAAGTTGTAAGAGAACCCAAAACCCTAAAACCCTGAATCCTAAACCCTAAACCCAGCCTGGGTCTGCATGTGGGTTCGTGGCCCGGCTTGCCTGGCAGCACACACACACACAAACTGCGCGACGTCCGCACATGGGGGACTTGTGGTTTAGGGTTTAGGTTTAGGCTAGTGCCCTGAACCCTAAGCCCTATAAGCCCTATAAACCCTATAAATCCTATAAGTGTCCCGAACCCTAAACCACTAGTCCCCAACTTGCTTTAGAACCTTCACCCTACAGAAGCCCTGAACCCCAAATTCTGAAACCTAAACCCCGATGAACCCCCTATAAGCCCCCAAAACCCAAACCGCCAGAAAACCCAACAAACCCCCTGTAACACCCCTACAAACCCCAAAGCCGCAGTAAGCCGCGATGCGTAGATCAAACCCCAGAACCCCAAACCCTAAACCCCAAAACCCGCGAAACCCTGAACCCTAAACCCCAAACCCTAAATCCCAAACCCGAAACAACCCCAAACACTAAACCCCAAACCCTAAACCCATACAATAAATCGTCAACCCGAAAAACCCTAAACCCCAAACCCCAAACCCCAAGACCCCAAAACCCCAAACCCCAAACCCCACACCCTAAACCCCCAACCCCAACCCCTAAATGCCAAACCCTAAACCCCAAACCCCTAAACCCCTAAATCCCAGACCCTAAGCCCTAAAACCCTAAACCCCAAACGCTAAACCCTCAACCCAAAAACCCTAAACCCCTAACCCTAAGCCTCAAAACCCTAAACCCCAAACCCCAAACCCTAAACCCTAAACCCTAAACCCCAAACCCTAAACCCTAAACCCTAAACCCCTAAACCCTAAACCCGAAACCCTAAACCCTAAACCCAAACTTTGGGCTCAGCGGCCTTGGTGCAGGCGCCGGCCTCGGAGTCTAAGAGGGTGTAGTTGCCTGGGCTGGGGTTTAGGGTTTAGGGTTAAGGGTTTAGGGTTTAGGGTTTAGGGCTTAGGGTTTAGGGTTTAGGGTTTAGGGCTTAGGGTTTAGGGTTTAGGGTTTAGGGCTTAGGGTTTAGGGTTTAGGGCTTAGGGTTTAGGGTTTAGGGTGTAGTTGCCTCGGCTGGGGTGCCGTGCCGGGGGCTTGTTTGAGGGGTTTAGGGTTTAGGGTTTGGGGTTTGGGGTTTAGGGTTTGGGGTTTGGGGTTTGGGGTTTGGGGTTTATGTTTATAGGATTTAATTGTGTGTTTACTGGGTTTTTACGGGGCTTTATAGGATTCTTTCTTGGTCTTGTATGGGGGTTTTAGTGGGGTTGTAGGGGTTTGTGTTGTGGGTTTTCGTGGTAGGAATTCTGAAGCCACAGGCTCAGCTCTTCTCCGAGCTGCCCAAAAGCTGCTTGCGATCCATGTTGAGGCGAATGCGCGCTTCAATCTCCTGCGTCCAAGTCTGATCCCTAAATATATAATGAGGGTTCAGAGTTTAGTGTTTAGGGTGCAATCCATTTGCATCACACTGACTGAAAGTAAAGTCACAAGTACTTACTTATTTGCTGGGAACACGCATGAAACGGGAACGATGCACCCTAAACCCTAAACCCTAAACCCTGCTATGTCTTTGACATTGACATGATGCGATCGGACCCTGCAGCAGACTCAGCCGCCTCTTAATGTATGTGCTGGGCTCAGGCGGTTTAGGCTTCGGCAGTGTAGGGTTCTACAGAACTCAAGTAGCATATGCACACAAGGTCCTCTGGGGGTTAGGTCACTGGGAAGTTCAGGGTACTTATTGCCCCATTAACTGCACTTATGACTCACTTCTCAGCCCCTTAAGTACCCCAATATGGTTATAAACAGGTGTCCTGCTGAACACTCGCGCAGGGTGCTTGGAACACAATGCTCTCGGAACATGCGGAGTGATCGCCAGCAGGCACCTCCACGGCACTTTCAAGGGCAGACGCCCTCCTCACCCACCCCCCCCGTAACATTGAACTTCCGAAACCCGAAAACCCGAAAAGCCCTAAACCCTAAAAGCCCGAACTAGAAGCCCCAACTCAGGACTGGCCGAATGGCCCCTGCTAGCATGTGGGGTGAGCCGCACGATTCGGGTTATCAGGACAAAAATGTTGGGGAACTACCTCGAGACAGGAGATGATACATAGATACACTGTAATACATAACTAACTTTACACAAATAAACCTATCAATACAAACTTATATATATATATATATATATATATGGTATATATATATATATATATGGTCACCCCCCCCCCCCCCCCAACATACATGTATATATATATATGTATATATATACTGATACATACATACATTCATACATACATACATACCCAGGGCCACACGAGCCTAAGGAGCTGCCGCCGCAACATCTCTTCATGTCTTCACACATTCAGGGTTTAGGGTTTAGGGTTTAGGGTTTGGGGTTTCGGGTTTAGGGTTTAGGGTTGTGTGAGTTATGTGACGTGAAGGTTCATGGTACTTCTTGACCAATTGTAACTGCACTTATGACTCACTCATAAGCCCCTCAAGTGCCCGAATATGGTTATAAGTGCAGCTATAAGTACAGCTTATGATTGGTTAGTAAGTACCATGAACCTCCAAGTAGAGACATGTGTGAATGTTGCGAGTGACGAGGATGGCCCTTGAGACCCCCTGAACAATATTCCTAGAAATCTAAACCCTAAACCCTAAACCCCAAACCCCAAACCCTAAACCCTAAACCCTAAACCCTAAACCCTCTTAAGCCCAATAAGGGGTAAATTGTAAAATGTCCCCAAGGGCCGACCGAGCTGATGAGCCCGGAGTCCGAACTCTCTTCCCCCAGGGTTTAGGGTTTAGGGTTTAGGGTTTAGGGTTTAGGGTTTAGGCTTTAGGGTTTAGGGTTTAGGGTTTAGGGTTTCCCCCCTCTTCACAACCAACACATGCGCGTGCACCGGCGACCCAGGACAGGCGGCAGCCGTCAGACCGCAGTGCTCCGCGCTTGGCGCCCGCTGCACCAAAGAATGGCCTCTCGAGGCGGCTCTTGGACTTGCTGTTGAAAGGGCAATTAAGGAAGGGAGAGCACCCACCCGGCAAAATCGGCCTAGATTTAGGGCCCTAAACCCTGAACCCTAAACCCTGAACCCTGAACCCTAAACCCTAAACCCTAAACCCTAAATCCGAAACCCCAAACCTTCATGAGACTTTCAAGGGAGACAGGAAAGCGGTGGCACCTCGCGTTACGAGCGAAGCCAGGAGCGGCGCTGCGAGCGTCCACCTCCTGGCTCGATGAGGGAGGGCGGGGGTTTAGGGTTTAGGGTTTAGGGTTTAGGGTTTAGGGTTTAGGGTTTAGGGTTTAGGGTTTAGGGTTTAGGGTTTAGGGTTTAGGGTTTAGGGTTCAGGGTGGGTTGAGGAGGAAGAGGAGGTTTGGGTTTTTTTGGATTTAGGTGGCTCAAAACTCCGTTAAATGGAAGGGTTTAGGGTTTTAGGAGGAGGTTTGGGGTTTTAGGGTCCTCCTTCAAAACTCAAAACTTGAAACCACCCCAAAAACCCCAAACCTTCTTCAAAACCCCAAACCCCCAAACCCTGAAAGAAAAAAAACCTACAACCCTACAAGCCTACAACCCTACAACCCTCAAACCCTAAAACCCGAAAACCGGAAAAGCCGAAAACCCTGAGCAACCCGACAAAAGCACAAAGCAACCCGAAGAGGTTCTGCGCTCCAACACCTGGACACCCTAAACCCCGGGGCTTCGGGCCGGGAAGAGGTTTAGGGTTTAGGGTTTAGGGTTTAGGGTTTAGGGTTTAGGGTTTAGGGTTTAGGGTGCGTTCATGGGCTTCCCCGCAAAGACCCCCCCCCCCCCTGCTGGCCTGCTGGATCCTCGTTCCATTGCATCGCGGAGGCGATGTAAAGTTGGTTCGGTATCAAGTGGCTGCGTGGACGGGACCAAAACACTCAAGGGGCCTTAGGAGGGTATGTAGGGGCTACGTAGGTACATAGGGACGACATAAGGTATATTATGTACATATACGTTTTTATACATATATATATATGTTTAGGTGAATAAGATTAAGATTAAGGGTCACTTCTAGGGGGTCCCTCCTTATACCCCTCAAAACACGCCACAGGAGCGCTTGGTCAGGACTTTGGCTTGCACATCAACACGCAGGCAGTAAGTCGTGGCTGCAGACAGTGCAGGGCTCCTTCTGCATGAGGTGAAGGATCTGTATGCAGAACGGATGGTACCTGCAAGGTTTGCTTCGACAACAGGCCCGACCATCATTTTAATTGTGCTCTTCTCTGGCTTGGGGGGCTCAGCTTCCATGTGTAGGCCTCCAAAAGAGATGGCTCATCTGATTCCGAGTCCAGAAGACCCCATGGAAGACCCCCGAATGACATCGAGATAGCCAGATCCTGGCCCTGCCACACCTTTCGGAATGTCACTCTAAGACTCTACCTGGATCCTCAGCATGACATAAAACGTGGGGGCCCCACGTGTTCCGCTCTGTTTGGTGTATGCTGATCCGCAGCGCGACCATGCTTCAACGAGGTAGCAAGACACTGGCCCTAGACCCTCTAACCCTACAACCTAAAACCTTAACCCTAAACTTGGAATTTGAACATTATCCCCAAATGTGGCCCTGCACTGCGCCTGTCTGAACATCAAAGTCCGCGACCCCGAAAAATGGGGGTGAGCTGGGGGCAGGGGGGGGGCGAGGGGAAATCGATATTCAGCCCTCGTACCCCCTCTGGGGCCAAAGCCCTAGCTTGACCCCCTAGAGCCCTAAAACCGACAGCCTCAAAAGCCCCACCAAACCCCCTTAAAAAAGAGACAACTCCCCTAAAGACAAGACATATATCAAGAAAAAACAAACCTAACAAAAAAAGCTAAACCCTCCAAAGCACGGTGTCCGTTGATGCGCCGCCGTTGTCTTCAGCAGGCTTTGGACCTCGCAGGCAACGGCGCTCCAGAATCGCGGGCTTTGGTCCGGCCCACGATTTCCGGTTTAGGGTTTAGGGTTTAGGGTTTAGGTAGTTTGGGGTTGATTCTGCGATCTTGGGCCTAGGAAAAGTCTGCAAAAGGCCCGATGGGTGCCCAGCCATCTCACATGCCCGCTGCATGGCCAGAGGTCTGCTGGTTGCAGAGGCAACAGATTTTGGGGGGTGGGTTTTTGAAGACCCTTAATCCTAAACCCTATAAACCCAAAGCAGGTTTTGTTGGGTTGCCCCAAAAACTCCAAAGTCATAGAGTTTAGGGTTTTCATGTTTATGGCTTTACTAAGATGGCCCCTAAAACCCTCTGAAGAATAGATCCCTAAATATTCTTCTTAAACCCAAGAAGGAATAACATGATATCCCAAGGGCCTACCTAGTTTAGAATGTCCAATTAGAAAGAGCGTGAAGTTGGGGGGGGAGGGACCTCGAAGCTCTCAATTGGCCCTGGAGCCCTCCCGCGGCCAAAGTTCTGCAAGGGTTTAGGGTTTAGGGTGGTTTAGGGTTTAGGGTTTAGGGTTTAGGGTTTAGGGTTTAGGGTTTAGGGTTTAGGGTTTAGGGTTTAGGGTTTAGGGTTTAGGGTTTAGGGGGGTTTAGGGTTTAGGGGGAAGGAAGGGATGAGGAGACCATTAGCATGCCTTCATAACGGGGGGATACAGGGTACCTAACTCGCTGATACCCTTAGAGGGTTCATATAAGGGGGATGTAGAGTACCTACTTAGCCTCTCGAGTGTAGGGTTTAGGGTGTAGGGTTTAGGGTTTGGGGTTTGGGGTTTGGGGTTTGGGGTTAGGGTTTAGGGTTTAGGTTTTTAGGGTTTTAAGGTTTTAGGGTTTGTAGGGTTTTTAGGGTTTTTAGGGTTTAGGGTTGACGTGGGAAGCCTGGACTGGCAGCTTCAAGACCCTGGGACGGAAGAAGTTTTCAGGGTCTAGTGTTCGGGTTTAGGTGTTTAGGTGGTCATGCGCTGACGTGGTTAGGGCTTAGGGCTTAGGGTTTAAATGAAAAGAAGGAACCATGAGTGGGAAGTATCATGAGCAGCAACAGAATCGTAAGATTGCCATCGTCGCGGCTTTGGTCTCAGGCCCTGTTTCACGGCTTCTTAAACCTCCAAACCCTCAACCCTCAACCCTCAACCCTCAACCCTCAACTCTCAACCCTCAACCCTCAACCGTCAACCCTCAACCCTCAACCCTAAACCCTAAACCCTAAACCCTAAACCCAAACCCTAAACCCTCAACCCCATCCTTTTTGCATCCTGCCGCGCAGTATCAGGAACTGTCGAACATCTGTTTGGCTGCGGGTAGGAGGGCCGAGAGACTGCAGGAAGCCAGCGCTACCGCAGCAATGCTTCCACACATTCGCTGCCTGTGAGCGCTGGGCAGATGGGAACCACATCTTCGCTCAAAAGCTGCCCAGGGGGGGCTTAAAGTAGTCCGCCGTGGTTCTTACCGTGGGTTTTCCCATCCTGGCAGATTGGCGCAGCTGCCTACGCCTCTCCTCTTCCCGGAAGTGGAGCATGACACAGCATCACGGAAGGGTCAGCCGCTGAACCCTACCTTAAGAGCTTTCTCCGCGAAGACACGCACAAGTGGCAAGCTTTTTGGATCCCGGTCCGAGCAGAACATGCAGGGTCGATCAACCCTGTGTCCTAGGCCTGGAAAATCCCAGGACTCTAGCCGCGTAATTACTTCGCAGTGCCCCGTTTTCAACCCTGAACCCTGAACCCTGAACCCTAAACCCTAAACCCTAAACCCTAGCCCTGCTGTGGGGCCCGGGACCCTCGAACGTCTTTCCGGCGCAGCTGCGCAGTCATGGTGCTTTCGGACAGCTGTCCTCTCTGGGTCCCATCATGGGGCTTGATCCAAAATCTGGGCCTGTTTTGCTATTACTTGGGGGTTTTAGGGTTCTGGGTTCAGGGTTGGGGGGCGGGGCGGAGGGGGTGGGGGGCGGGGGTTTAGGGTTTTGGGGTCTTAGGGTGTTGGGGTGTTAGGTTCTTAAGGAGGGGGTGGGGAGGTCTAGGGAAGTAAGTTTCCAGGGGCCCCGCAATTCGACTCCAAAGGTGGAATAGCGTTGTTTTGATACACACATATTTTCGGTATGTATGCATTCATGCACTTACTTCGATATGTGTGAATGTCTATGTACATTTAACATATACTAGAAGGAATAGACATATATATATATATATGTAGAACATATGTGATCATACATATAGCATACAATATTAACTACAGCCTCTATAAAGGTGCCGTGGCAGGTCTCATTAAGAATGGCACCCAGGGAGGGCAGCTGCCAAGTTGTCAAAGCTGTCTCAAGCGACCCGCATACCCACGTCCTTAAAAGTCCCAGTTGCAAGTAGGCTTACGCCATACCCGCCTGGTACAGCGGCATCTGCACAAGTCGATGCTGGTCAGCCCTAAACCCTAAACCCTAAACCCAAAACCCTAAACTCTAATGGCTCGAAACCCCTGAAAGGCATCAAAATGTGGAGCCGCGGACAAAAAGGCTGCATCGACGACAATGCTACCTTTAACGAGCCATGTAGCAGTTACAGCATCTGTCCGAAGATTTGGGAATTTGGCTACAGGGTTAGGGTTTAGGCTTTAGGGTTCCACACACAACCGCATCCGTGCCACAACGCCTACATGGCCTATGTCCGGATATCCTAGTTAAATCGATGTGATGATGCAAAGGGGCAAAGGGAGGTGCTGGCCTCTTGCACCTGAAATTCGCGAGCTTTATCGCAGGCCCCCCTTAAAGCACCGGCCACATGCTGCCGCGACTGGAGCTGATGGTCACAATGCAATGTTGAGCCCTTGGCAAACCCTTGCAACCCTAAACCCCTAAACCCCTAAATCCCCAAACCCCTAAACCCCTAAATCCCTAAATTAAATCCCCAAACCCCTAAACACCTAAACCCCTAAATCCCTAAAACCCCTAAACCCCTAAACCCCTATATCCCTAAATCCATAACCCCGAAACCCCTCAACCCTGAGGCTCTCCAGTCTTTAAGCCCTGAGAACGCAACTCGCTCCGCGAACCCTGTTACGATGGCGTGCTCCTCCCTGAATTGCATAGGTCGACCCTGAGTTTGTTTAGGGTTTAGGGTTTAGGGTTTAGGGTTTAGGGTTTAGGGTTTAGGGTTTAGGGTTTAGGGTTTAGGGTTTAGGGTTTAGGGTTTGGGGTTTGGGGTTTGGGGTTTAGGGTTTGGGGTTTGGGGTTTGGGGTTTGGGGTTTAGGGTTTAGGGTTTAGGGTTTAGGGTTAGGGTTGAGGGTGTAGGGTTTAGGGTTTTTGGTTTGGGGTTTGGGGCTTAGGGTTTAGGGCTTGGGATTTAGGGGTGCCAGTTTATGGCCCCCTCTTGACAACCGTCACCCCAGGCCAACTCAGACCTTCAACCATAAGCTGGAAGCTTTGACCGCCCCTAAACCCTAAACCCTAAACCCTAAACCCTAAACCCTAAACCCTAAACCCTAAACCCTTAACCCTAAACCCTAAACCCTTAACCCTAAGCCCCTACACTGACACCCTCAAGCAACTTGGCCAAGAAGTTTCCCAAGCTCCGCGCAGCGTCATTATAAAACGAAGTCTTAACATCTCAAGTAGGTGCATACTAGCATGCAGCATGAGCCACGCTGCGAGTCCGTAGTCCCCCTCCTTCTCATGGCACCCCATGTCGGCTTGTAGGGGGGATGCCTTAGGATGTTCCCCCCCTTATACTAGGAGTCCTTCATGGGGATTGTAGTGGCCCCTATTGTGCTCCCTACCCTAAACCCTAAACCCGAAGCCCTAAACCCTAAACCCTAAACCCTAAACCCGAAACCCTAAACCCTAAACCCGAAACCCTAAACCCCACACCGATTAAGGACTGTTAGTATAAGGGGGAGCATCCCAACAAATG